TTCTTTCTTCACAATGTGCATATTAATTCGTCATGTCCAATGCCGCGACCTCGAGTATCATCCCAGATTCCACAAGCTGCATGCCTGAAGTTGAGGTTTGGTACTTAAATATTGTGGTTTCGTATAGTTACGATAGCTTCTTCACTAAATCGTTGAAGGGCAAACGAAGTACAACTAGCACCAGGTTCAGTAAACAAAGTTGACCTCTTAACAATGCTGCTTATCCCAAGCAACCAATTAGCTCACGGTTACAGAAAATTCTGCTTATTGCAGGTTTTGTAGCGTATTAGTAGCAAGAGTTTAATCAAGCTGTATGCCCACCTAACTGGTACAGGCAAATAATTTATGCTTCTTCCCTTCACGGCCTTATTGTAGGATTCTGCCTTACAAATGCGTTAGTTGTTCAAAGGGCTGATGAGTCAATGACGATTAACGAAACACCTATTGTGAGTGGGTGTCTCCCGTGCGGAACTAAGAGATAGATTAACGAATACGCAGGGACACTAGCTATAGTGCAATAACTAGCATTTTACTACAAGCAAACTTTAAGAGTGAACCGCTTGTAGGAAGCGGAGGTGTAAAGTGGAAGAGTAGCTAAGTCGGTCTGATACGTAAGGGTTATACGGTTGTCAAGGTTGCAAGAGATCAAGAGAAACCGCAGTGGTTAGTGCTGTTGTCAAGCAGTTGTAGGATAACTTCTCTAGAACGGTTTTAGCTTCTGCCAAAGCTATAAATCTTAGTAGTGTTAGGTAGTGCCTAGGGTGGAGGTGTTCAAACAAGGGCCCAGATCAGTGACAAGCGATTTATTTCAAGACGTCCTTTGTGCTGCCTTTGCCTTCATGGTGCCTTTGTGCTGGCACTCATGGCCAAGTTCAAGCATTAACTGATTTGGCTACATATAGGTTTCTTCAATGCCGTTCATGTCCGACTGGGTCAACATTCACCCATTCTGAGATAAGGTTTCGCCTTTTATCACACATGGGGACAGCTATATGTTTATCCGAAGCAAGAGTATAGCTGTTGCAATATGTAATAAAAAGCGAAAATTACAAAAGAATGCATTTTTCACTCAGTTCTGGGGCACATAGCTTGTTGTATTGACACTGCCTCCTGCCCGGGTGTGGCGAGGAGGGTTAAATAAATCGTAAGACTGGTAGACTTGGCTAGTTTGGCGCAAATTGCAGAATGAACTATCGAGTTCGCACGTCCTCGGCTTCGAGCGCGCTGTACTGGCAGCCAACCATTCTAGACAAGTGGTGTTCCGTGGCGGTCTCTGGATAGGCAGCGGGTTGTGTAGCGAGTCCGAACCC